ATTTTTTGTCATCAATTTATATAGTTTTCTCAAAACTTCAAAATTTGGTTATGGGACGCACTGTATTATAAAAGATACCTATTTAAAGGAACATGTTCATCTCAAGGGTCCCATAGGTTATTAAGATGACAATAAATTTTAGTATTTTATTGTGCCAAGGTCAAAAAATTTAACAATATTGATAGACTAATACACTTATTAAAAAAAATGTTTTTTTTTTTGACAAAAAATGCAAAAATTAGGTTAAATGTGTCATTTTTTAATTACATGAATATGTAGAAAAAAAGAAAATTATAGTTTTCTCAGCTAATTCAAAAATTCTTAAAAAGCTGAATACTAGAACGTTGATGTGTACCATAAATTCTGAACACAAAACCAGTCGCTTTGCCCTTTTTTGTTTGGCAGATTTAAATCATAATTATGCACCTTTTTTTACTGAATATAATGCTTATTTATATGTTATGGTTATTATATTTGACACTTGGCAAAATTTGCTAAACCGAACACAAGGCTAGAAATGAGAAAATCGAGGCCGCAAAAAAATTGGGGGGAAGATTCTCATTTGTTTGATAGGCGTTTGGCATCAGACGAAAGCCAAATGAAGCGAGAAATATTCAATGTATCGTAGCCTATCTTCTTTTACAATTCACTCCCACCCTTTGCATACAATTATTATAATCCTTTCAGCAATAGGCAGCCGTCGATGACAAAAAAAAATAGAGACTAACCTTGATCTCGCAAACCGCGAACAGATTACTCATGTTTGACATTCTGATGTTGTGCTCCATTCGTGCGGAACAAGCCTGCAAAATGGGAAATTTGAGATTTTTAATACAAAAAATAATTAGCTCAGGGTTTTCCACTATGCGAAACTTGTTAGAGGTAATGGGAAATGTTTAATTAAAAAAATTTTCGTCTCAATTTTATACTATGAATTTATTAGTTCTTCATGGCAACTTAAGAAAAATTATTTTGTCTACTCAGACGACCAACATTGAAAGATTCCCAAAAAAATCTTCCCCGATTCTGAATATTTAAACAAAAAAAGTACGACACTCCAATTACAAATCGCCCTCGATTTAGCGGGTCGGATTCGACTAATTTAATCCGCCCTTTTGTACCAAAATTTTCCACCCAAACCAAAAAGTCGAATCGTTGAGTATATTAAAAAAATACAATTTATGAGACAGCTAGTATTTTTGAAAATCGCCCCCCAAAAAAGCAATAGTCAATTTACATATAAATTAAAAAGCAAAAGGTGAAAATGGTAAAATGAGAGCGAAAATGATTTTGAAGTTAAAAAGGAGAGCAAAAGTGCAATGTTTGATTGAATCACACCGCTTGCTCATTTTTTTAATAAATCGATGGGACAAGGTTGTGAAGGATGAAATCAAATAAACGGAATGCTCATAGTGGATTTTGCAAAATAGAAACCGAAACATTGCATGAGGAAATGGGTAGTTTGGCAGGTATTCGTCATACCAAAAAAGGTGCATTGGCGTTCATCGCCGCATTTTTTTTGAAGATTGCCGACGCCAATTCACTATTTGAATAAGGCAATATAAAAAGGTATGGTGCGACTAATTTTGCCCGGGTAAAATGCGTTTTACTATGTGAGCGAAAACCAGCGCGCGAAAAAAAAAACACTAGAGGTGCGAAGACAAAAGCCGGCGAACAAATGGTGTTGAAAGAAGCCGAATTTTTTTTTGCGCGAAAAAAAAGGTCAGTGGGGAATTGTTTTGTAGAAGTGCAGATTTCTCTAGGAAAATTGCAGAGATTTTTTAACCATCCGAGAGCACCAAAAAAATTTTTTGATTTTTCGAATAGCTCCAGAATTTATTGAAAAAAATTGCCACCAAAAATGACCAATTATGATCATTTTTATAGGGGGACCCCTTATTTTAAATCCCTGTCTTCAAATAAAATTTCCAATTCAAATTCTGAAACACATTTGAGCTTAGCTTTTTTTCGTCGCGAATCTAATTGTCCCCATCTGGTTGGGACCATAAAATCCAAACAGCAAACCGAAGTGGGTGGTAAAAAGTCAAAAAATTGGAACACTTCTACAAACTACTCGTTTTGAACACAATTTTCGGATTAGTCGGATAATTTCAGAGGGGGCACGAATTCAAACATATACACAGACCAAATTTTGCGCGGATGGGGGGGACCCACAGCTCATTAATCAAATTTTGATTCATAGCGTTCTGCGAGGTGGGCGAATGGTCGTCGCGAAAACAGATAAATGAAGTTAAATTTTTTTTTCAATCGAAACCGGTATGGAATCGGATAATGACGTGTTACACGGATCAGTGCCTTCAGCAGAAAGACCAAAAAAATTGAATTGCAAGAAAATCAAAAAATACAAGGTATCGGAGACGGGGAAAATTGTTCAGATATTGCTTCTTGGGGAATGGTATGTAGAGAGGAAGTTTTGAAATTTCACAAAGCGGAATCATCAGAAAATTGGCGAAATGCCACAAAAAAGCAATGACAGTGGTTTGATGCAACGGGCATCGGTACAGAAATAATTTAAAGGCGCATATCGCGCCCCAATATAATTGAGACGAATTTTAGGCAAAACTCACATCCAGAATTTCTTCTTTTAAATACGAAGAATAGAATCTGCAAGAATAACCTATAATAATCAAAAAACGAGAATAGAAAGAAGTCATCGTTTCAGAGTGCATAATAATCTATAATTGAGTGACCGATTTGACCAACCCAAAAAAAAGAAAGATGTCTGGTTTGCGGCGTTTGGCAATCGACAAAAACGGGCTAGCCGTCGAAAAGAAAAATGCAATTAATTTGAAATTTAAAGCGGTTCCGTACCACGAATTGATAGTGGGGTCGCAAAAAAAATTGTGAAGAAGATAAATTATTGGACGATGGAGAAAAAAAATCGGGCCGAATTCCAATAGGTGGCAATTCGAAAATGAAGGTTTCGATTGATAACGAAGCGCCGCCCATCACATTATTCGATTATGAACCCAATTTTGTTGAAGGGGGGGGGGAATACGCGTTGAAATCGTGTGCGACTGACAAGAAGCCGACATTTAATGGGGCCTATTATGAACACATCGTTTTCTTCGAAAACACATTATCAATGTAATAATGATAGAAAATCGTCAAAAATTGTGATTTTGGAACCAATTGCGGTGTGGGCCAATCGCAAAATATCAAAGAAATTCGAGAACCGAGTCTTGAGTGGAAAACAAACGATACTATGTTATGGTTTCGACATCTCTGTTTGCCTATATTTTTTTGCAAAAACAGTTGATAAGTTTTGACGACAGTTTGCAGCTCTTATCAATTTCGGTCAATAATTGACTCAGAAGCCCGAATTTTAGTTGCAGCTTCTTTGAATATTGCACCCTCTAAGGCATTTGAATTGCCGCCTTGGGTCTTGTATGGAAACTCGTTGAAGCGAGTTTTTTCATCATAATGTCAGAAAACATTTTTTAAACAAATATTTTTGTGGTTGAATTGGGGCAAGCACGAGCTGAGACCGATTAATTGGCAGCGCGCGAAATTCAAAATTTTTGAATTGCCAAATTCATTTATACATTTTTTATTAAATTTGAGTTTGATGGTATCAGCAAGCAGGGGAATTCCAATACACAAACGGACACACCTAGCTGATATAAACAATTGAATTAATTTTGATATGATTATGCAGGCCAAAGAATACCACTTGTTTGAAATTTGAAAAAAAAAAGAACTACCTTTGGTATGGAATACATAGTTTTGGTGTGAAAATGAAAACGATATCCAGTTTTATGTGTTCGCTCTTATCAAAATGCCATAAGCAAACATTTGAGAATAATGAGGTGCGAAAACGTTTTTTTTAGAAAATTGTAGACCTTGTAGGATGGATGGTTGTAGTATGCCTTATATGGAAACTAGCTTTATTACTGTTTATGAATGACGTTTCGCTGCAAACTTTCTTCAAAGGAATGAATGATAATTCTAGATTAATATCGAAAGATTCACGAATTTCGAATTTTCGATGACGTAAAAGAAACAAACCAAAATCACGTGAGAAATGAAACAAGCTTTACTAATTAGATAGTGATGAAATGATGACAAATTGTAAAAAAAGGATTAAAAATGGGGAAATTGTTTTCAAAAAATAATGAAATTTTTAAAAAATAGCGAACTGACCAATTATGAGAATTGTTTGATTAAATGAGAACGCGCGTTTGGCGAGTGTTCCTTTGTCCGCATGCCTTCCATTCCATTCGAACAGGAAACTAGAAATGCCATCGTTGTATTGTTTTCTAGCAAATCAACTTTACATTTATAACAGCTGCACTAATCATAGGAAAGAAAAGAAAAAAAAAGTGCATAGTATAAAATTTTCGAAAAATTCGGGAAAATTTTAATTGCAAGTATGTCAGGACGACGAATAAACGAACAGCTATCATTGCCAAATATTTTGACGCCTTCTCATGAACCGGTTGTGTGATGCAGCCTTCTTCATTTTTTTTTCGGATGCAAAGGTCGCACGAAAATAAATTATGGGATTCGCCGATGGGCTATGATATATTTGAAGATAAGATTTCGTGTTGCGAAGCCGTTGATTTTTCAAAAACGGAAATAAGATTCAACTGGTTGATATTTTGACCCATTTGATGAATTAAACAACCTTCAATTTGGGGTCTATCGATAGAAACTAAAATTTCGAACATCGTTAATGGAAATCCGAATTTGAGATGAGAATCGGTACTATTTTTTTCCTTTTGTTAATTTTTTTCATTTTCTCTGCATTGACCCATACAAGTATTAAAATTATTTCGACTACTTCCAGATTTTTTTTCAGGAAAATGTTCAACCAAAAAATTTGGCCTCCAATACGTGGACGAAGATTTCACATTCAAAATCTAGGCCACGCAGGGTGGCGCGCGCACGAATATTTAAATTTTCGCATGTTTTCATTATTTCTCGATGTTTATGCGTCTGCAATCGTAATTTTTCTTTAATATTTGCTTTAATTATAGATGTTCTTCTCAAAAGCCGGAAAAACTGCTGTTGAATGGATAAAGGGGTCAAGGAAAGTTTTTTTCATGAAAATGAATATTATTATGATCAGTTTTTTAGAGTTCCGTACAAAGATTTGGCGCATACTTTAGAAAAAATCGAAGAATTATCGGGTAAAAAGAAAATTGATGAACTCGCACAGTTTTTCAAAAAGGCAAGTAGAAATTATTATAAGACGCTTGGAAATATTCGTCGTCATTCAGGTACTTGAATTATCGCCTTCAGATATCACCGCATGTGTCTATTTATCAGTAAATCAACTAGGACCTTCTTATGAGGGACTGGAACTTGGAATCGCAGAAAACTCTTTAATTAAAGTGTGATATTTGGGATAAATAGAAGTATGATGAAGTATTTTTAGGCTGTCGCTTTGGCGACTGGAAGAAAAGAAAACAAAATCAAAGAAGATTTAAAGAACAAAGGAGATCTTGGAACAGTTGCTCAACAATCTCGATCAAATCAAAAAATGCTAATGGCTCCAAAGGCGTTAACTGTTCCAACAGTCTTCTCAAAACTCACCGAAATTGCCAAACTAAGCGGGCAGTCCGCAATGAACAAGAAAGTCGATGTTATAAGAGCATTATTGATTGCATGCGAAGGAATTGAGGCTCGATTTCTCGTTCGAATGTTGGCTGGAAAAATGAGAATTGGTCTCGGTGAGCAGAGTGTGCTTTCAGCGCTTGGTCATGCTTTAACCTATCAAAGTATTGGAGGTTTGAAGACATTTGGTTAAATTAGAAAGTAAATTTTTGTTTTGTAGATAACAAGTTGAAAGGAGACCAACTAGATGCATTGAAAGAAGAAAATGTGAAGAGAGTGAAAACGGCTTACTGGTGGGTGCAAAATTGAATATCGATTTTTTTACAACGAGAAAACGTTGCAGCGAATGCCCAAACTATGATAAAATCATTGAAGTCGCGCTGGCCGAAGGGGTCGAAGCACTTCTTGAAAAATGCAAACTAACCCCTGGTGTGTTCCCAATTTTCGGCGATTAATTGATAATTGCGCAGGTATTCCGCTCAAACCAATGTTGGCGCATCCGACAAAAGGAATCGACGAAATCATGCGTCGATTCCGCAATCAGGCGATGACTTGCGAATGGAAGTATGATGGTGAACGTGGGCAGATTCATAAAAACGAGAATGGAGATATCTTCATCTACAGTCGCAATCAAGAGAATAATACCACCAAATATCCGGACATTATCGAAAAAGTTAACAGCTTCATCAGCGATGATGTCAAATCGTTCATTATTGATGCCGAAGTGGTTGCGCTCGATGAGAATGGCCTAATTTTGCCATTCCAAATTCTTTCGACAAGAAAACGAAAGGTAATAACACAACACTAAATGCAATTTCTAATTAATTCTGAAAAAAAAAACCATTTTCAGAATGCCACAGATGATAATGGCGTTCGCGTCGGTGTCTTCCTATTCGATCTGCTTTATTTGAATGGAGAACCTCTAGTGAGGAAGCCGCTGAGACATCGACGGGAATTGCTTCGAAAAAGCTTCAAGGTAGAAATTCTATTTATTTTTTGAAAGAGAACTGTATTTTTTGCCAGAAAGTTGAAGGCACATGCCATTTTGCCACTTCTGTCGACACCACCGACACCGATGAAATCAACGCATTCTTCGATGAAGCTGTGCAGGTGGGATTGCAATCCAAAATCTTCGCCTTGAATATTCCATTATTCAGAATAAATGTGAAGGATTGATGATCAAAACTCTGGATGCTGATGCGACATATGAAATCTCGAAAAGATCGCATAGTTGGCTGAAAATGAAAAAAGATTATGTTGATGGCGTCGGAGATACATTGGACCTTGTTGTAATGGGTGCTTATAATGGAGTTGGTGAGAAGAGTTATTTTATTGAGACATGGGTATTTCATTTTTAGGTAAACGAACCGGTGTTTATGGTGGATATCTTCTTGGTTGCTATAATCCTGAATCAGAGGAATATGAAAGCGTTTGTAAGGTATTAATAGTTCGATGATTATTCTGATGCTTCAAACATTTTTTTGAAGATTGGAACGGGTTTCTCCGATGAAGATCTCGGCGAGCAATTCAAGCTTCTGCAAGACAAAAAAGTTGACAAGGTAGTTATTTCAACAATTTCTTTTTTTTTATCAATGATATAAAAATATTGACTTTGTTGTTTGTAGGCACCTTCGTACTATCGTTTCGATCCAACCTTGAAACCAGACGATATTTTCTCGCCAAGTCTCGTCTTTGAAGTGAAATGTGCCGATATTACCATCTCGCCGAGGCATATGGCCGCTTCGTCGTTGACGCCGGATGGCAAAGGAATTTCGCTGAGATTCCCAAGATTTTTGAGAATACGGTAATTGAGAGATTTTGTTGTTGTGCATGCTTAAATTCGAAATAATTGAATTTATCCAGTGATGACAAGAATGCGGAAGACGCGACATCGTCTGCGCAGATACTCGAAATGTACAAAAATCAGGAGTTGAACGCGAACGCGAAAATCGAGAAAGGTGACGATGAAGGTGATTTAGAGGATGATGAAGAAGGCGCAAATAATGTTTCGAATGTAGCGCCGAAAAAAGAAGTTAGTGAAAATTTTGAATTGTGAAAAAAAAAAACCAAAAAAATCAGTTTTCGGAATTATATGAGTTTTTCTTAATTGTTATTTGGGGGTGGGGGGGGGGAGTTGAAATTTTCTGAAAAAAAGGACGATAGATTGTGCAAAAGAGCTTTTTTCTTCCGGTTTTGTGAGATTTCTACCCCAAAATCAGCAGACTACTATGGGATTATTAAGGAAGTCGATGATGATGAGGAAAAAGCCGATACATCAACATCGTCGAGTAATAGCGCCAAAGAAAATGTAGTGAAATGTTCGCCGACGAAGAAGTCGCCGAAGAAGAGGAAATCATCACCTGCAAAAAAAGAATTGAACGGATCGGATGATGGAGTTGAAGAGCCAGCCGCGAAACGATCTCGAGTATCAATCGAATCGGATTCGTAATAATCTTGACATTGTCTTGAGATAATCTTTTATTATTTTACTATGTTGTACTATTTGACGAGTAAATAATTCTAACAGCATGTCAAAACAAAACCTTTGGGCGCGAACAATGGAATTGAGGTGCCGTTTTGGTTTTTGTTCGCGCGCGATAGAGCATAATGAGCAGCGACAACTCAAATGACGCACTTTTCGCGCGTTTATTTATTATTATTTTTTCTTTCTTGTCCTTGGTTTTGACCGGTTCACACCGATTTCGCTCAAACATCATGTTGTTTTATTCACGTATATGCGTCAGGGACCTTTGAGGTTTGAATGATCCGTGTGGCTTTCCCCACGAGACCCATTTATAGTATTTTTTTGCAGAAAATAAGAAAGTTAAAGATCGCCCAACTAGGTATTTTGTTTCGATGGATGGAATTGTATGGTTTTTTTAAATTTAAATTGTGATCTTTTTTAAAATGTCGAAACAAAAATAAGAGCCAATTTTGTTCGAGGCTACTTGAACTCTTATCACGAACGTGATACGGTAGCACTAAAATCAAACAAACGAGAATTTCGATTAAAATAAAATTAAAAGTCTGGATTTAAGGTAACCGCAAACCTAGGGACCCTTAAAGACTGCAAGTACCTCAAGCAGAAATAGCACGATTTTCTTGAATTCCCAACTTTTCATTAAATAGAGTTAGGGATGTTGGATGGCTAAAAGAAAAACTGCAAATGTAGTGTTGCTAGGGCAGATTTCAGCAAAAAAAAAACCCGAAGTTCGAAATGGACGACGGGAGGCCCCAAAAACTTCCGTGGTTTGTCCCTAAACTTTTTTTTATTGTTAAGTAGAAGAGATCTTCTTGATATGACCCTTTATTTTAGATGTCTTGCACAATGTTTAAATGTTTATCGGACGTTTCGATCTTTAGATCATCATCAGGGAAGGTCAATTTACCTCAAACTTGGGTAATTAAACTTTTTTTTAATTACCCAAGTTTGGTTTAATTACCCGAGTCTTTCTTCTACTTAACAATTATCCACACGATGCACTCAAAACAAGTCGCTCCACAACTCACAAAACGTTTTTTTTACCTACCAGTACGACACTCCAATTACACATCGCCCTCAATTTAGCGTGTCGGGCTAAACCGAAGCAAAACGTCATTTGTTTAGACTAATCGATTTTTTTTACACTGTTTGTTCTAAAATCGATTGAATCGCTGAGGAGTCGTATTAACTAGTATTTGAGGTTTTCTCCGAAATCTGCTTACCAAATCAAAATTTTTTTCGCCACTGGATAACGCCAGGCGTTTTCTCTGAAATATTCTAGTTTAGGAACATTCTGACATTCAAAATGTATTGTGTGTTTATTTCAGACTTGTTATTTTGCAGCCGAGTATTCAAATTCGCGTGCGCGCTTCCCGACTACTCAGGTAAATCGAATAAAATATTTTGAGATTCATTGAGAAACTAACGTGTCTCTATAATATTTTAGAATTATCTCAATCAACTTTAGAAAATCTTATAAAATTTTACAAAATATTTTTAAGTTTAGCGATTCTCAATAAGTTTTAGAAAGTATCAATAAAATTTAGAATTTCTCATAATATTTCAGAGTTTATTATTGAATATTTGATTCTCAAAAAATATTTGATTTGATTTGCCTGAGTAGCCGACGAGAAATCAGTTTTTCATCCATTTTTCACCGATTTCTCATCTATTGTTAGAAATAGTCTATTTTTCGTGCACTTTTTTGCCTAGTTTTTAACCACTTTTCCAGTTTATCTATTTTTCACCGACTTTTTAACCATTTTTCATCTGTATCCCGGTCGCAGTGGCCGCGTTGCGTACGCGTCGCGGTCAGCGTCGGTTTTAATTTAAATTGCCTAGAAGCTCAAATAAATAGTAATAAAAAATTAATTTTTAGTGAATATATGACCTTTTTTGAGAATGTTATACTCAGGCAAATCAAATAAAATATTTTGAGAATCAAATATTCAGTGATAAACTCTAAAATATTTTGAGAAATTCTAAAGTCTATTGATACTTTCTAAAACTTATTGAGAATCAATAAATTTTAAAAATTTGGAATTTGTAAATTAAATCTTTTGAGAAAGTTAAATCTTTTGAGAAAGTGTAAAGTATCTCAATATATTGTGAGACTTTAAAATTTGAATAGGGCCCTTATGACTTCCACTGACGCAATTTGCGGCGTCTCTTTTTAAGATCTCCTAAATTCCAATAAATAATTTATGTTTTTGATGTTCCTTCCGTTTTTTTTAGCTTTTGGTAATAGTTTCTTCACTTCAGTGATGGACGTATTCATGAAATGCAAGTTTTTATAATAAATGTTTAACACTACCTTAAATCTGCATTGTTTTACATGCTGAATTTGAAACAGTTGTGTCTAAACATGTCATTGCATGAACAGGTTCATGAATTTTAAAAACACGCACAATTATTACAATTAATTACAATTATACTTCAGTTTCTAATGATTTCGATATTTTAGAAGATCGGGAAAAGTGTGGAACAAATATTCCAGAAACATTGGCCGATAGATTTAAGGAACGAGGTAAATACAGCAAATTCAATGAGCAGGTGCCCATGTGGATCACGGCCATGGATATTTTCCACCTTTTTCACGAGGGAACACGTATAATAAAAGGTACTTCAATTATGTCTCTCCTTTTTCAGCATTTAAAAATTGAAGATTGTCTTTTAGAAGTCTTCGTTAAAAACGAAATAAATATTTTTCGATGCGAAGCTATTGATGTGAAAGCGAGACTGCCATCTTCGGTAAAGTCGCTATCAGGAAAATTCAATGACATTAATAGGTCCGAAAAAGCTAGTGTAAGTTAATTTACCACTTGCAATTATCATCCTTTGAAGATTTTTGAAGTGAAAATTGTTTCTAACGCCATGATCGGAACCATCCCTCCGTTAGGTTCAGCTGTTGTGTTGCTTATACATGCCTGCTACCGATGGATGGTGTCACCGACTCGCTTAGTTACAAATACAACATTACCAAACAAAGTAATATGGGATCGTTAGCTATGTACATAATAGAAAATTTTTATTTCAGATCGCAGGTATTTGCAAATTATTAGAAATTCTAATTTTAGATGGGGCGCCTCGATTGTTTTCTGGTTCAAAAGTGCACGTAAGTCGTTTTTTTTTGCAATTTTAAGAGTTATTGAACGTTGTAGCATCATGCTATTGTCGTTGATATAAGAAATAATACTAATGATTACTGTATTTATTGTTTCAGCAACTTATATACCATTTGTACAGTAATGTCAGGCGGTGTGGTCAGCTGTCGGCAATAAGCACGCAAGCGCATGAGCACATTTATCACGTTATCAAGAGAAACATGTGCTCGGAACAGACAAACGGGATTGGATATAGTATTTTGAGAAAGTTAGACTCATTCAGTTATTTTTTAAAACTGGCAATTTTCAGCTATAAACTATATCACGAGATTGTGACTTCATTGAAAATTCGTTTCAACGCGAATCCGGATTTAATTAAGAAGTCATTTTATCGCAAAGAACTCATGAAATTAATCGAAAAACGACAAATTCAATCATCAAAATTTGTAAGTTCAACATTTTCTTTCAGTATATGCAACGAATTCCTTATAGCAACGTTGTGCGTCATTCGCAGAAAAAGGAGAAAATGCGAAAAGAATAAATTGATTCATTTATTTTTTTTTCTGATTTTTATTATTAATATATTCATTTCGCATTAATATTGTAATAAATGAAATGTTCATACATATTCAATTATTATGGATGTTATTACATTCTATTTGTGTGAAAATTGCTCGATAACGTATGATATTACATAATATTGGACAGAGTTTATTGAGAACAATCTAAAATTTATTGATATATTCTAAAGTTTATTGAGACAAATCTAAAACTTATTGATAAACTTTAAAGTTTATTGAGACAAATCTAAAACTTATTGATAAACTTTAAAGTTTATTGAGACAAATCTAAAACTTATTGATAAACTTTAAAGTCTCACAATATTCATTGAAACTTATTGATAAATTCTAAAATCTTATGAGATTTCCTAAAGTTTATTGAGACAAATCTAAAATATTATAGAGACACGTTAGCCTCTCAACGAACCTCATAAGATTTTAGAATTGTCTCAAAATATTTTTTTTCATTTGCCTGAGTAGTTTGGATATATAATGTTTTTCCATATTTAATTAAGATTAATAATGGGACAAAAATAAGGGGGCTACGACAAGCCACTTTTCTTCAAAAATTCTACAATTGGTATCGAGTTTTGATAAATCATAGAACACGATCAGATGTAAATATTTGCCGTCAAGTTCATTGGGAGGTAGTAATTCGCAAAAAAAAATTTTTGAGGGAACCGGAAGAAATTCGAAAATAATTTATGAGAAAATTCTCACCATCTCTGTCTCTCTTGTTTTTTTTTTCGAACAAATTCGATTCGATTCCCATTTTGAAGCAATTTAATTTTGTTTTTTGGAGTGTGACGACTACTACAAAATCATCCACTCATCAATATATGTGGTCTCGCGCATTGTCTAAATTTTGTGCCTCATTTGGTATTAACCGAATCAATTAAAAGCAACCCCCCAACAAAACATGGGGGGGGGGTGAGGGGGTCAGTAATTTTTTTGTCGACTGGTTCGCATTTTTCAAGTGGCTCAAATCGAATTATGGCTGCACGCAAGGGTCACATCAAAAAGCAAAAAAAAGGTTAACCTTTTTGCTGTCGTTTTGAGCATCCCCCAACCCGCCAAGTTTCTCTACTGAATATATTATATGTAGTTGAGCGTTGTTGTTCATTCGTTCACGACGAATGACTTTTGACGGGAGGCGGCTGAGCAAAAAAGAAAATACGAACGAATTCAATTAAAAACTCATAATTGGAAAACCCAAAGACTTTATTTACGACCTCTTCTATTTTTTTTTGGAACCGCAAAATCGCATGGCCGCGCCATTCACGGCCACCAAAACTCGGTCACG